TGAAAAACCTTTTTTTTCTCAATAATTATACAATTTTTAGTGTTTGTTTCCGTAAAAACTATTCGATATAAAAAAATCAACACATTACTCAAGGATTTACCAATTTGATTATTCTGCAGGCTGCTGTTGATTTTGCTTTGTTCACTAACGTTCCAAACGCATGTGTATTTTTTTTTACCACATACATAAACAACACTAGTTTGAAAAAACTGTTGTATCATTCTGTGCTACTCGCCCAGTAACAGGGCTTGCTTGTTGTTGTGTATATTTTCAGAGGATATTTATAGAACAATCTAATTTTTCTTAAAATTTGATACAGAAGACATCAGGACAAAGCGTTTATTTATATTTAAATAGTTTCGTTATTTTCCTATTTCTGGAGAAAACACAAAAATATTGAAGCTGAGAGTATATTTTTAGTGTAGTTCTGACTTTTCAACTGTATTTTTGATGAAATTTTTTTGATGTTATTGACATCAACTTGAAAAACTTGTGATCATTTTTTCTAGAAAAAAACGGGGCTTAAAGGCTGCCAGTTTAGCTCCTTTGGAACTATAAACGAGCGACATGTTGCGTTCTTCTAAAATGAGTAAGCGGCAAAGTAAAATCTTTGAAAGTTGATCTTAAGCCAGCTATTTGGTCTTTTTGATAGATGCTAGACGCTAAAAACGATAGATGTAAGATGCTAAATCGGTTTTTTGACGCATAATTTTTTTCTTCATGAAGGGGCAGTCAAAACATCAGGGCTTTGCACTTATATACGAGCTATCCTGTTTTGTTTCAAGTGTCCCAAGTGTAGTTCAGACAAAGTTGCTGTAAATATACCTTTAATAGCTACATTCGATGGCCAAGATAAAAATTTTTTGGAGCCAAAAAAAATGTTTATCGTTTGAGGTTGGTTTTGTGCGAGTGTTGATAATGTTTTTATCCTTCTTGGAACAGCACTATAAAATTACGCTTTAACAATTTTATACAAAAATAATTTTCGTAATTTGCATGCTCAACGGTATATCAGTATATATCGGCAAATAAAATTGCATGAAATCATTTCTTGTTCAGTTAACAATGATCAACACAGTTTTTTATTTTAAAAACAATTCCTTGGAAAAACTAGACCATTAGTATCAAATTCAAGTAATTAGTTTCAAATTGCCAATTGAATTTGAAATGGGTAGTTTGTAACTGAAACTTCCAATTACAAACCACCCATTTCAATTTCGAAAGGTAATGCGAGCATGAAATTCTCGCAGTATTTTTCAGTACAACTTTTCAGACCTGATATTGTTGAGATTGAATGACACTAAAAATATGCACAAAAGTTCAAACTTAATGATGACACTTATCTTTGGGTGTCAAAAGCAAACCAATAAAAGCAAACTTCGTTTAGGTATTATAAAGTTCACTTGATTCCTGGAACGGGTAGAAACAGTTTTAAAATAAAAATAGAAACATTGAGCAAAACGAATCTTTGTTAAAATAAATCAGATTTTTTATATTGAGTAACTTCGCTAGGCCTCAGCTAAGTTCTTCCTTTTTGGTTAAGTTTAAAAATATATTGCAAAAATTTTACAGCTTTATTACTGTTCCGACATTCGATACAAAAGTAACGGAACATTTGTGCTCGGGGTTGTGTTTTTTTTCTTCAGACAAATTTCGACTTCTAAATTAGCCATTTTTGACGGAATTGTTTTTATATCATTCGAAACGTATTGTTGTCCTATGCTTAAATTTGAAAAACTATTTCACTTGTAATCACTTTGTGTAAAATTATGGAGGTTTAAAATTAGAATTTCGGCCAAATTGGGACAATTAACGCGCGATATATTTTGCGCTATTAACGCGTAAGCGGAGATTTAATCCGTCTTAGAATTTGTTCCAAAAAGGTTGAAGGAAGCTTAGTTGCTATAATTGATTTTTTAGAAGTAAATTTATCACTTTATATTTTATATGGCGTGTGAAGGGATGTGCTTCAAAAAAATCTCAAATTTTGTTACAAAATTTTTTCATTTCAGTTTCTTTTTTTTTACATTTAATTTTTGATGTTTTTACAACTTTATAGACCTTTAAAGGCAGTCAGAACATTCAAGGGTTTGCCTTGATACGAGCAGTTTTTTTCAGTTCTTTTCATCACCATTGACAAAAAAACACTTTCTGCTAAAATGAAAATATGTGCTAAAAATTCAGCTTGTTTTTTTTGACGAAATTGAAACAAAAACTAATCAAGACAAGTGAAGAAAAACAATTACATATTTGAATTGATTTGAAGACTTCTAAAACGTTTTCCAAGTTCTGTTCATTAGCCAACGTTTTACTTTAGCCAACGGTTTTCAATTTATAAATAATTGGGTCAACGATGACACGTGCAAACAAAAAGGTTTTTAATTCAATAAAACTGATCAAACCATTTTAGAAAAAATCTTAGAATCAATTAGAATTGATTACAAATGGATTCTTCTATTTTAACGCTGGTATTAGAATTTCGTGAAAATTTTAGCAGACGAAGTACAAAATAAGGGGGGGGGCACTCGGAAAAACGATGTGTCCACTAAAATCCTCTATAAAACTTGACTTCCTCAATCGATAAAATTATTACATAGCTGGATATGCTGGTCTGCTTATTGTTGCGACTTTTGATACAAAAGTAACGGAAAAATTGTGCTCGGGGTGGGTTTTTTCTTCAGACAAATTTCGACTTCTTAACTAGCCATGTTTGACGGAAAATTTTTTATTTCATTCACAAGGAATGTTGTCTTGAGCTTAAATTTGAAAAAATATTTCGTCTTTGATCATTTTTTGTAAAGTTATGGGAGGTTTATAGATTGCCTTTTTGGCCAATTTGAGCCAATTAACGTGCGATCTGTTTTGCGCTCTTAACGCGTAAGCGTAGATTTAACCCGTCTCACAAAATTGTTCCAATTTTGTTAAAAGAAGCTTATTTGCCATAATTGATGTGTAACAAGGAGCGAAATCTATACTTTTGTACTTACTATGGCGTGTGAGGGGATGATTTTCATAAAAAACTTCAATTTTTAGAAAAAAAATGTCCATTTTTTACATTTAACTTGTTAATGTTATTACTGCTCCATAAACCTTGAAAGGCAGTCGGAACATTCAGGACTTCGACCGGATACGAGCAGTCTTGTTTTAGGCATATCGGTTTACTGAACGCATCTGGCTAGGTTTACGGCCTGTCTCTAAGCTAAAGCTATGAAATCGATTTTGATCAAGTATAATCAATTAGAGATTATTCTTTTCATTTTTTGATATATTTGAGAAGAGACTCTAAAAAAAAAGATTTTCTGTAGAAACTTTAATCAGTTTTAATTGGTCATAACAAATAGAAATCTGTTTAGTAAGTCAAGATTATATTGGATTATAAATCTGCTAATTAACTTGCATTGGTACTTATACCTAAGCGTATATTTGTATGTTGAGAGTTATTTTATTTCGTTATAACTCAAGGTTATTTTTGAGGAAAATGGTCATTTTTTACAAGTTTCAGTTTTCAATAGTTGTTATAACGTAATTGAAAAATTTGTTTTTTGTTTACTGATACATTGATTTACTGATCTGACCATCCATTATCAACTCTTTTAACCCAAAAATTAGCTGTCGGTTTGCCATGGTCGCCAAAGCCTAGAAAAATAAGCTCATGTTCGCAAAAGTCCGGAAATACCAGATTTCACACTGTTCAAACTTAACAAGACTGCTCGTATTCGGGCGAAACCCTGAAGATTCAGAGTGCCTTTTAAGGTTTATGGAGAAGTAAAAACAATTTAAAACACTCCATATAAAGTACAAAAGGATAGATGTTGCTCCTTGTAACAAATCAATTATGGCAAATAAGCTTCTTTCAACCAATTTGGAATAATTTTTCAGACGGATTAACTCTCCGCTTACGCGTTTTACAGGTGAAGAATTTTTTTCAAATTTGAGCTCAGGACAACATTGATAAAAATGATTTTTAAAAATTCCGTCAAAAATGGCTAGTTAAAAATCGAAATTTTTCTGAAGAAAAAAAACCCTCACCGAGTACAAATATTCTGCTACTTACGTATCGAAAGTCGGAACAAAAAACCCACCCAGATCACAAATACTCCATTACTTTCGTATCGAAAGTCGAAACAAAAAGCGAATGATGAACTTTGGTTACTTTATATTCGCAGCTAATTAGTTTTTGTATGTTTTGGCTATTACTTGGATATCTCTAAAAAGAAGTTTTACCGGTTTTGATCTGGCAGATTCTTTCAATTTGCTTCATCTTCATTCTGTCAAACAGTTTTTTTTTCCTGGGATTGTGAAATTCGCTATCATCGCTGACTGGTAAGCTCTCACGTTTTTTGAGTACCGTGGTTAAACCGTGTTCAAGGGACATGATATTATTTGAGTTTTCAAAGAAAAACAAAAAAAATGTTAATTAAGTCATTTTTGAAAACAAACATTAAAAGTTAAAATTATCAATCAGCACTATTACGAGTTTTTCGAATCAAAATAAACTAATTGACTTCGCTTTTGGTGTTATAAATGGTTCAATGGTTCAACAAAAAAATTTTGGGTGATGACGGCCAACAAACAGCACTAGTTTCTGGATTTGTTGACCAACAACAATTAAAATCACATAATTTTTTTTAACAAATAAAACTAAAATTACACTTTACACCAAATTATCAACCACAATTTTAAAACCTGAAAAAAAAATAAAACATCAAGTTTCGAATGATTACAAGTTTTAACTGGGCATCAGTTTTCATGTTCCAAAAGTATAGGAAACTCAATCTGTCGGTGTAATAAATATTGAATGATTGGGCAGTTTATAAACACCGATTAATTTGGCAATTTTAAAGTTAGTAATGATATTTTTTTTCTGTATAGGACAATATACGGCAAAGAAAGTGGACATAGAATATATAGAAAAAATATAGAAAAGTAACGATTTTTGGATAACGGCAAAACTGACAGCAAAAATAACTATTTTGAGCATACGCAAAATTAATGACATTTTTTGAGTATATTCATCAAATTTGAATCCTAACACTCTTTTGATTCTTGAATGTGATAGGTCAGCGCGCTGATTGTATCAAACCGTTGTTTTGCTGTTTGCAGTTCGATGATGGCGTCTTTTGGGACATACGGCGCATCAGAGGAGCCCCTGGGTGTAGTCCGAAAGTCGAGTTCTTGCGCCCCTGCAGCTCGCTCAATTGCGGGGTTCTCAGTTTGCAGATCCGGAGATGTGAGTTGATGGATAAGATAGAAACTTTTGGTGAAAGCGCTGTACAAAATGGGGTTGATGCAGCTGTTCAAGACTGTTGAAGCTTGAGATATTAGGGTGATATAAGCGAAAGTGAGTTTGTCGAAGCCGGCCAAGAAGTGGAACCCGTTGCACATCTGGGATACATAGAATGGTCCGTATGAAAAGATGAAAGCGAGAACTATAGCGCCCAAAACACCACTTAATCTGTTCTGATTTATGCGGGTCAGGGCGCTGCAGGGAGTCCTGAAAAACATGACAATAATTCAAACTTGAAATTCGTTTTTATGGAAAATAATACCGTTTGGTTCCCCACCCCTCCTCCCTCTCAGCAACTATGACAGAAACTTTTGATAAAACCAAAAAACTGTTCATACAACTATTGGCATGTTGAAAAAAAAAACATTCAAATCTTTTCATTTGATCATGCTCGCTGACGTAATTTAATTTGATAGAAGCTGCCAAATGCGCTTTAGGAAGCATTTTCTTGTTCAATTAATTAGGAAAATTCATCTCATTTAGAAATCAGAGGGTTAGAAATGAAAAAGAACAAGCCGTTTTCAATGAACATTCATTTACACCGTTTGATTCAATTTTCAGACATTTTCTTATATTAAAGTTACAGGCTTTTAAAGAACCTTATTTTCAGTTCAATGTCAATTAAGCATTGAATGATCGGCGTTTTTTTATATTGACAGTTCGTTATTGGCATTTTCCCATTAGTTATTGCCATTTTCTTAAATTTTTCAGACAATTTCAAACGATCACTTTCAATTTTTAAAAGACGGATTGATTTCGTTTTTACTGCATTAGGCGGTCAACATCCATGAAGCGGTCATTTTTTTGTTATGAACTTTCAAAAAACAATATTGCAGGTTCGATGTCAATTGAGCATTGCCCGGCTCTAGTTGCTCATTTTTTTGTTTTGACTTTCAAAGTAGAGCACATGTCGAGAATAGTCGAGGCAAGGTTTGGGTCGCGCATAAACTCAAAACAAATCTCGAGCACGGTCGAAACATATAGAAGTTTGGTTGACATGATCAAAATATATCTAGAGCACGGTCAAATTATATCTAAATTAGGTCAAACACGGTCGAAAAAAAAACCTTGAGCAAGGTCAAAACATCAAAATTTGGTCAAATCTGAAAGAAAAAATAAAAATTTTGGTAGCATGGTCAAAAGGAACGTCGGAAATGATTGACCCGCGGTAAAACAAAGTTAATTTAAGAAGAAAAATTCCTTCAAAAATCAGCCTTTTGTAACTTTTTTGACACAAATTGAAAAATCGAAAAATCATAAAACTGAAAAAGTTATTTAAAAAAGTTTTTATCACTACAAAAAATTTAACTTTGAAAAATTCGTTTCCACTTTTTCTTAGAATCAGCCTGAGATAATATCCAAAAAGCATTTTTTATATCTTACTATAATTTTGAATAACTCATATTAATTGAAAGTCGAAATATACCCAAAAAGGCCGAAACGGTCCAATCAAACCTCGCTGGTGGGGAAAAATTAACCATATTTTTTTCGTTCAAAAAATTTCAAACATGTCTGGCTTGGGTCGAGAAAAATTGTTCGAGACGGTCGAAACATGCGCAAAAATACCAAGTTTTGTTTGAGACAATCAAAGCATAGTGTGAGATTCTCACTCCGGAAGAATGTTAAGCATTTTTTGATTTTACGACTTTTTTTGGAAACGGTACTTTCCCATTATAAAATAATTTTTCAGCAAGCTTTAAAAATCGAATTAAGTTTTTTGAAAACAAAATTAAATGGTTGTTACTTGTTACAAAATTAGACCAGAACTTTTTAAGAGAGAAAGAAATTTTTTAGTTTCATTTTTTTATTTTTTAATTGCTCTTAGAATGACGTTCGTCTTTTTTGTGACATCATCAACTCGCGGGTACCGGTAAATTAGCATGCGTGTCAATCAGAAAATTATTGGGCAATTAAAAGACTCGCCCGCATCCAATTTCAAGCGTTAATAATCGATTATATTACGATTTTACTACCAGTTTTACAAAAATAGAGAAACGATCGCTTTTAATCAATTAATAATCGATTATAATCTCTTTTTAAAATCAAAACATAATTTTTTACAATCTATTATAAGCGATTAGAATCAATTATTTGTTCGTATTTTTTTCGATACAGTTATAATAAATTATAATTGATTATAATCCATTAATTTTATTCAACTTTCTAATTCATTAATTTTGCACAAAAATCCATTATAATTGATTTAATCCCTTTTTTTGTCCATTTTGTCTTCGAACTTGCATCTAAATTGCTCATATTTTATGCTTTTTGTAGACGTTGGTTCCTATGAAAAATGAGAAAAATGTTTTTAAAGTTTTCCAATCAGTTCAAATTTTTAAGGTTTTTTTTTTTCATTTCTTCCCCACTAAACTTGTGTGGTGATGCATATTTTAAGCTTTTTCAACCACCAAAACATCAAAAAAATGATTTAGTTTCATGATGATTCGGAAAATTTTATTTTTCATCTACCGCTGGAACCTTTCCACTAATATGAAAGGATCTCTATGAAAGTTTTGTTCCTTGGCAAAACTTTGTGCTCAGATGAACCAAAGTGTTAAAAAGATCTCTCTTCTAAAGATTTTCTTATTGACACAAAAATATTAACCCATAAGATAAAATTCGAATATAGTTTTGAATTGTCGAATTTTTGGCAAAATAAGCAATTAAAATCGATAAATACCTAAGTTTGGCAATTATAATCAATTACAATTGTCAAAAAGTCATCATAATAATCTGTTATAACCTATTAATTACGCCAAAACTTGGATGCAATGCCTGCTACTTCGAGATTTTTCTATTCATTTTTGTTCACTCAGATATCCTCTTTTATTCCGAAAATCTAGTTTGGCGGAACAGACTTGTTAATTCTCCAACCGCAACAAATCGAATTTAAAAAAATTGTATAAATTAGATTAGACTGTATGAGCGTCATAATACAGTAACTAGAGCATAATAATCAGCACACATGCTTATCGCTACGCCCTTATCTGAGTTTTGAGCTATGCAATAAAGGATCACTTGGGACGATAAAAGTAAAGGTTCTACTATCTAAGAAAAGCATAAATTCGCTTCGCCAATTTTTTCGTTCTCATTCTGTGATCCTGGATCAAATCAGAATCGCGAATACCCTCACTGGGAGTATCTCTTTCACTATCTTGGAAGTATCATCGGGAGTATCTCTATCGAGGTTTTTGGAGTATCATTGGGAGTATATCCTTCGATGTCATGGAAGTATCTCCTTCGAGATCTTGGGAGTATCATTGGGAGTATCTCTTTCGAGGTCTTAGGAGTTTCATTGGAAGTATATTCTTTGACGTCTAGGGAGTTTCTCCTTCGAGATCTTGGGAGTATCATAGGGATTATCTCCGTCGAGGTATTGAGAGTATCAATGGGAGTATCTTTTTCGAGGTCTTGGGAGTATCATTGAGAGCATCTCCTCCAAGGTATTGAGAGCATTATTAGGAGTATCTTTTTTGTGGTCTTGGCAGTATCATTGGGAGTAAAACCTGCAATGTCTTGGGAGTATCATTGGGAGTACCTCCTTCGGGATATGAGAGTATCAATGGGAGTATCTCTTTCGATGTCTTGGGAGCATCATTGGGAGTATAACCTTCAATGCCTTAGGAGTATCTTCTTCGCGATCTAGGGAGTATCATTGGGAGTAACTCCATCGATGTCTTGGGAGTATCATTGGGAGTACTTCCTTTCGGGTCTTGGAGGTATCATTGGGAGTATCTCTTTCGAGGTCTTTGTTGTATCATTGGGAGTAAATCTTCGATGTCTAGGAAGTGTCTTTTTCAATATCTTGGAAGTATCATTGGGAGTAAATCCTTCGATGTCTTGGGAGTATCATTGAGAGTATCTCCTTCGAGTTATTGAGAGTATCATGGTAGTATCTCCTTCAAGATCGAGGGAGTATCATTGGGAGTAAGTCCATCGAGGTCTTGGGAGTATCATTGGGAGTATCTCTTTCGAGGTTTTGGGAGTATCATCGGTGAATCCTTCATTTTCTTAGGAATATCATTGAGAGTATCTCCTTCGAGGTATTGAGAGCATCATTGGTGGTATCTCCTTCGAGATGTAGGGAGTATCTTTGGGAGTAACTCCATCGAGGTCTTGGGAGTATCATTGGGACTATCTCTTTCGAGGTCTTGAGGGTATCATCGAGAGTGAACCCTTCGATGTCTTGGGAGCGTCATTGAGAGTATCTCTTTCGAGTCCTAGGTAGTATCATTAGGAGTATATCTTCGATGTCTAGGGAGTATCTTTTTCAATATCTTGGATGTATCATTGGGAGTACCTCCTTTGGTGTATTGGAAGTATCATTGGGTGTATCTCTTTCAAGGTCTTAGTAGTATCATTAGGAGTATATCTTCGATGTCTAGGGAGTATCTTTTTCAATATCTTGGATGTATCATTGGGAGTACCTCCTTCGGGATATGAGATTATCAATGGGAGTATCTCTTTCGATGTCTTGGGAGCATCATTGGGAGTATAACCTTCGATGCCTTAGGAGTATCTTCTTCGCGATCTAGGGAGTATCATTGGAAGTAACTACATCGATGTCTTAGGAGTATCATTGGGAGTATCTCTTTCGAGGTCTTGGTAGTATCATTGGGAGTATCTCCTTCAAGATTTTTGTGAGTATCATAGCGAGTATCTCTGTCGAGGTCATGAAAAAGTCATCGGGATCATCTCCTTTGAAGTGTTTGGAGTATCATTGGGAGTACTTCCTTTCGGGTCTTGGAGGTATCATTGGGAGTATCTCTTTCGAGGTTTTTGTTGTATCATTGGGAGTAAATCTTCGATGTCTAGGAAGTGTCTTTTTCACTATCTTGGAAGTATCATAGGGAGTAAATCCTTCGATGTCTTGGGAGTATCATTGAGAGTATCTCCTTCGAGTTATTGAGAGTATCATTGGTAGTATCTCCTTCAAGATCGAGGGAGTGTCATTGGGAGTAAGTCCATCGAGGTCTTGGGAGTATCATTGGGAGTATCTCTTTCGAGGTTTTGGGAGTATCATCGGTAGTATCTCCTTCGAGATGTAGGGAGTATCCTTGGGAGTAACTCCATCGAGGTCTTGGGAGTATCTTTAGGACTATCTCTTTCGAGGTCTTGAGGGTATCATCGGGAGTGAATCCTTCGATGTCTTGGGAGCGTCATTGAGAGTATCTCTTTCGAGGTCTTAGTAGTATCATTGGGAGTATCTCTTTCGAGGTTTTGGGAGTATCATCGGTAGTATCTCCTTCGAGATGTAGGGAGTATCCTTGGGAGTAACTCCATCGAGGTCTTTGGAGTATCTTTAGGACTATCTCTTTCGAGCTCTTGAGGGTATCATCGAGAGTGAATCCTTCATTGTCTTAGGAATATCATTGAGAGTATCTCCTTCGAGGTATTGAGAGCATCATTGGTGGTATCTCCTTCGAGATGTAGGGAGTATCCTTGGGAGTAACTCCATCGAGGTCTTGGGAGTATCTTTAGGACTATCTCTTTCGAGGTCTTGAGGGTATCATCGGGAGTGAATCCTTCGATGTCTTGGGAGCGTCATTGAGAGTATCTCTTTCGAGGTCTTAGTAGTATCATTAGAAGTATATCTTCGATTTCTAGGGAGTATCTTTTTCAATATCTTGGATGTATCATAGGGAGTATCTCTTTCGAGGTATTGAGAGCATCATTGGTGGTATCTCCTTCGAGATGTAGGAAGTATCCTTGGGAGTATCTCCTTCAAGATTTTGGGAGTATCATAGGAAGTATCTCCCTCGAGGTCTTGAAAGTTTTATCGGGATTATCTCTTTCGAGGTCTTGGGAGTATCAATGGGAGTACCTCCTTTGGTTTATTGGAAGTATCATTGGGTGTATCTCTTTCGAGGTCTTAGTAGTATCATTAGGAGTATATCTTCGATGTCTAGGGAGTATCTTTTTCAATATCTTGGATGTATCATAGGGAGTATCTTCTTCGAGGCCTTGGGAGTATCATTGGGTTTATCTCCTTCGAGGATCTGGTAGTATCATAGGGACTATCTCCGTCGAAGGCTTGAAAGTGTCATCGGGATTAACTCCTTCGATGTCTTGGGAGTATCATTGGCAGTACCTCCTTCGGGGTCTTGGAAGTATCATTGGGAGTATATCTTCGATGTCTAGGGAGTATCTTTTTCAATATCTTGGAAGTATCGTAGGGTGTATCTCCTTCGAGGTCTTAGTAGTATCATTGGGAGTATATCTTCGATGTCTAGGGACTATCTTTTTCAGTATCTTGGGAGTATCTCCTTCAAGTTTTTGGGAGTATCATAGGAAGTATCTCCGTCGAAGTCTTGAAAGTTTTATCGGGATTATCTCCTTCGATGTCTTGGGAGTATCATTGGGAGTACCTCCTTTGGTGTCTTGGAAGTATCATTGGGTGTATCTCTTTCGAGGTCATAGTAGCATCATTAGGAGTATATCTTCGATGTCTAGGGAGTATCTTTTTCAACATCTTGGAAGTATCGTAGGGTGTATCTTCTTCGAGGCCTTAGTAGTATCATTGGGAGTATATCTTCGATGTCTAGGGACTATCTTTTTCAGTATCTTGGGAGTATCTCCTTCAAGTTTTTGGAAGTATCATAGGGACTATCTCCGTCGAGGTCTTGAAAGTGTCATCGGGATTATTTCCTTCGATGTCTTGGGAGTATCATTGGTAGTACCTCCTTCGGGGTCTTGGAAGTATCATTGGGAGTATATCTTCGATGTCTAGGGAGTATATTTTTCAATATCTTAGAATTATCATTGGGATTATCTCTTTTGAGGTCTTAGGAGTATCATTGGGAGTATATCCTTCAATATTTTGGGATGATCTCCGTCGAAGTCTTCGAAGTAGAGCGACCACCCTAGATAATTTTCTGCGAACGTCACTGACGAGCTAGGAAAGTTTTCTGTAAAAGCGACAGTTACAGAAAAGATTTTAAAAATCTTAATGGTTCTTCCTTTTATGGGCAACACATAGAACGAATTTTCAGAAATTAATAATTTAAGAAAAAATTGTAAAATTAAACTCTTTTCATCAATTTTAACTTAGGCTAAGTTGAAATTGATGAAAAGAGTTTAAATACAGTAAAAGTAAGTTGTTCTTGGGTCAGCTCCGAATTAAATTTTTTAGATGCTTTGTAAAACAGGCTTTGCTGCTATCAATCATCGCAAAAAGAGCAGATCTAGAATTTTCTCGTTTAAAAAACTTTGCGAAACGCTGACAATAATTTTTTTTTCTAGGTTGAGCATGATAATTGCCCTCCCAGCACAATACAAAATCTGTTTTACATCGCATTGCAGAAAATTTTTCAAACAAAATGGAATTAAGTCGTTTTGGCTTTTTGGATTTATTTCTATAAAAAACCCGATGTGGTTAAAGCATGCCCGCATTCCAAGATTTCATTTGATTGCTCAACTTGCTAAGCTCAATTAAACTAGAAACCAAATCTTTCAGAATATCTTTATCTATGCCCGCTCCCCCCTCTATACAAAAATAGGGGCAATTTGTTACTGGGCACACAGCTCGCATACCCGTACTTAATCGTCAAAACAGATCGACAAACCATTGAATTAACCATTGAATTAGTTTTTTTACAGTGGGTGGTGATTCTACACTAGGTGCCATATGTGAGGTAGTGAGAGGGAGTACTTCAAGAGATCCCGTTTCTACAGGTTTCAAAGAAGAGCGTTTGAGCGATAGATTACAATATCCTGTCTTTCAATTATGGATTGATTACAATATCCTTTCATTATCAGATTACAATACCTAATACACCCATACCGGACTAATACCGGAGTGAGTCTTTTGATCTGTCTTCCTGCTTGCTCTGAGCAATCAACTGTGCTCTAAAGCTCGTTGATATAATTAATTTCGCCTAATTGCATCTATTTTGTGTTCACAGGAAAAAAACTGTGTGTCTTTTCACTGTTCATTCTCCAGATTTACTTTTTTTTGAATTATATACCAATTTTGCTACGTATAAATTGAAAGTGTATATATGTTGATCACAGGTCAAGGATACCATACCAGTTATGGCTTTTTATCCCCCCCCCCATCTTCGATAAACAGCGATTACTATGCTATCTAGACTGAATTTTGCTGCGACTACCCAACCCCCTTCGTTTCTGGCTCCCCATTCGGGTCTTCTTTTTGGTATCATTTTGCGACAGCCATTTTTGGGCTGATCGACTTTAAAGTTTTTAAAGGCAGCTTTGTCGCTAATATATTATATATTTGAGGGTCAGCGCGCGCCACAAAATACGCAATTTTTATTCAAATCTTCCCAAAAGTGCTCACGAAAATTTTCTTCATTTTTTTTTATTGCCAACAGTAGTATTGCAAACATTATTACCCACATTACAATACTGGGTATAATACATGACATAGGATGAGAGCTGCTTGTCTATAGACTGACAGGATGAGATTTTGTGAAGAAACCGTATAAGTTACCGTCTCTGGTGCAGATAGTTTTTGAACACGCCGGCGTAGAAGAAAGTCATGAGTGCTGCCGGCACAAAAAACTCCACCGCCGCCAGCCATGTGAAGTAGACAGTGCGCCAATTGGCGTCCCAAGTGCTGCCGCAATGCACCACAGTCCTGTTGTGGGCGCCGGGTTGTTAAAATTGACTTAAGAAATTGGCGATTTTGTAACTCAGTCTAAAAAAATTTGTATACGCAGTCTAAAGAGCAAACTACCGAAATAATACTTTTTCCTATCTTAGCTTGATTTTGTTTGAACATTACAAACATCTTCGATGATTTTTCTAGATGCCAGTTTTTTTTTTAAAAGTACAACTGCGTTTTTTTTGTTCTTTTCTTGGAAAAGTATGATCTGTGCATAGAAATGATTTTGCAACTCAAAAAAAAGGCTAATTTTTTTCTCAGTTTTGGAATTTTTATTTTGTATTCAATGTTTTTGCCCTATCATACACTTTTGATAAACGAACATTGTTAATGACAAGCTTTTTTCCATAGACTTCAAGCATAGAATTTTATAAAAAGAGTTTTTCTTTCATAGAGACAATCTTCTTCATAGGTTTGTTTTCAGGCCATTTCAAAATATATTAGAAAAAAATAAATAAACGATTTTTTAAAAATATTTATCTCCTAGTGATATGGTGGGCATTAGATTAATTTCCGATTTGAAATATTGAATCCTGAAACGTTAATCATCTTAAGTTTCTAAAACCACAAGCCCAAAATTATTTAATACATGCCCTCAATCTTTTTTTTTTCAATTCTTTTTTAATAAAATCACCGTCTTGCAGGGAAAAAAACTCAGGTTTGCTTGACAATTTTTTCTATAAATGCTCTAGATTGATTTTAAAAATAAATACTCTGATTGCTTATGAGCAGAAGAGAAAATAAAACTGCTCGAGTCCGAGCGAAGTCCTGAAAGTTTCTACTGCTTTTTAAGCTCTCTGGAGTAGAGTTTGATTAAATAAAAAAATAATAAAATTTCAAAAAAAAAAAAAGTTTTTCAGTTATTTCTGAAAAAAAAATTCCTCACAAAATATGTAAAGTAATGTACTTCGCATACAGCAAAGTAATAAATCGACCGGCTAGCATGCCTCAATTCAAAATTGAACGATTCCTAAGAGGGGTTAAATCTCCGCTGACGCGTTAATAACACATCGAGCTTTAATTATCTCAATTTGACCAAATTCACAATTTTTAAACCCCCATAACTTTAAATAAAATGATCACAGGTAAAATATCTTTTTTAAATTCGAGCTCAAAACAACAATATTTTAAGGAAACATTAAAAATTATGTCAAAATTGATTAGTCAAAAAGTCGGAAATTGTCTGGAGAAAAAACAACCGCGGGCGCAAGTATTCAATCAATTTTTTCAAAAGTTAGGACAGAAGTTTCCAGTGTTCGCAGTCTGATAAAAAAAAGAGTTGATTGATTCTATTATGTTACATGACTTTGAAAGAAATGATCTAACTTTTTTTCAAACGTTTTATCACAATCCCCACAAAAGCGAGAAATAATTACGCTGTTTGGTTTGTTTTTGTGACGGAATCATTTCTGTGCCGACCCAAAACAAACAAAATTGGTTGAATTATTTTTCTAAATTGAAAAAAAAAAAAAAAAAAAACTGATCGTATATTAGGACAACGTATTGAATGTTTTGACTGTCCTTTAAAGCTGTAAAGCTGGAGAAAATTTTTTTGCTTAAGAAAACGACAGAAAAGTTTGAGAAATCAAGAAAATTTGTTTTTGTTTTCTATGCTTGGCTTTTGATCCCCCCAAAAGGCGGTAAAATTAGGATATACTTAGCGCCTCGCATTGTATCAATAAGGCTACACTGCCGGACTCAAGTCAGAAAGGAATGAAATTTTTTGTTGCTTAATCAGTTTATAAGAGCTCAATATTTATTCCAAATTTGCCAAATCAGCACTTATCAGTTACTGTACACAAAAAAAAACACAATTAAAAAAAATTTCAAAATTGAGCTCAAGACAACAAAACTTAATTTTTTTGTCTCTTTTGTCGCTTAAAAAATATTGTCAAAAAAACTTAATTAAAAGTTCGAAATCTGATTGAACAAAAAAACCACCCCTAGGCATGAACTTTCGGTATTTTGTTCGAATTTCGGAACAAACCACACAGCCAAAATCAAGGCAACGCCAATTGCCCTCTGTTTAAACAACAAGAATGAATTTTGAGTTGAACTTGCTGCTTAAGCTCATACTATACGTTTAAACCTGGAATTTATCCCAGTCTGTCATTATCTATTTATTGTTCCGAGTTGCGTAACGAAAGTAACGGAATATTTGTGCTCGGGATGGTTTTTTTTTCTTCAAACAAATTTCGACTTTTTAACTAGCCATTTTCGACGAAATTTTTATATCAATCGAAAGATATTGTTGTCCTGGGCTTAAATTTGAAAAGATATTTCACCTCTGATCATTTTTCATAAACTATGGAGGTTTAATGATTGCCATTTGACCAATTTGGGACAATTAACGCGCGATATATTTCGCGCTATTAACGCGTAAGCGAGAGTTAATCCGTATTAGAAATTGTTCCAAATTGATTCAAGGAAGCTTATATGTCATAATTGATTTGTTAATAGGAGCAAAAAATATCACTTTGTACTTAATATGGCTTGTGGGCATGTGGGGGAAATTGGAAATGTTTTCACAGAAAAATCTCGAATTTTTTTCTAAATTTTTTTTTATTACATTTAAATTTTCATGTTCTTGCTGCTCCATTAACCCTAAAAGGCAGTCAGAACATTCAGGGCTTCGCCCTGATACAAGCAGTCTTGTTTCTACTTTGAAATATTTTTATTTAAGCCGCCAAAAATTCGTAAATACATTATATGAAAACCAAAAAATAATAATCCTCAAGTTTGATTGGATGAACCTAAATGCGTTGCTGAAACTTAGTTTGCGTAGTTCGTTTGATTATTAAATGATGCACTGCTTAAATATTTTGGGCGGAATAAGTAAGAAGACCCCTCCCTATTCCGTCTTGAAAGACTTTAAGCAACTAGTTAATCTGCTTGCCTAATCATTCCAAATTGAAATGAGGCAAACTATTTTGTCCCATTGGTTCATCCTCAAAAAAGCAAATTATTTCAGTAAATGCTTAACACTAATTCTAAGTTCTAAGTCTAAGAACTTGAGGGCGTAGGACTTTTGAATAAAGAATTTTTGCTGAGAAAAAAAAACACTTCTAAACTACAAACAACTTGCAAGCTTTTAAAAGGGTTGTTGAAAGAGACTGATTTATTGGGTTTAATTTGTTTTATATCATGATTCAGCCTTTTTTGTTATTTTTCTGTATCTATGAGAATCTATGAGGTAGGGCAGATCAATTATTCTGTATTTTACCAGAAATATAAGCTTGAAATTAATTCAAAGTTGGTTAGCTACATCTCTGCTAGAACACAAAAGAGACCCAGTTTCTTAAAAGTTCATAAGACGCTCCTGGGATGAATGTGTTGAATAAGCTTTTGAAAAGGTCCGGGAAGTTGTCAACTATCCCCTCTTGCAAAGAAGGCGAATTCGCTACACCTTACAAAAATCGTCTTACCACTTAAGGAAATTTTTTCGTATCGTTTAATCTATGCCTATTTTTCTGCTATGAATCAGTGCTAATTTAGCGCTGAAGTTTGCTATTTGGGTAATTTTTTAGCGCTATTTAATTGATGGCGACCGCTGTTCTGACTAACTTCCATCGCTAATTTGCAATTGGAACCCAGCCTGGGCGGAATGATACAGTAGAAGCATGGCGCCTAATATTGATTAAAATTTGTTTATGAAGACCAAAATATGGAAATAAAAAGACTGATCTTCTCCCACTCCTCAAATCACACACCACACTACAACAATTCAATTATTTTTGCGTGAATTATCCCAAGGGAAAGCAAGTTTTATTCATTCAAATGAAATTGAAAAACTGTGTTCATTCTTAAGGCAAACATATATTCTAATTGGATTTCCGAAAAGTTATCAAATATTCTAAAAATAATCTCACAAACAATCATCAGTAAACGTCAATTTTTTTTGTCGAAATAAAAAGTAAGCGATTCTTTGAATTTTGAAACCAAAATAAAATAAGACAGCGCGGATCAAGGCAAAAAGTACTGGATGTTCCGACTTTCCTTTAAGGTCTATGCAGCAGTGTTCACTTTAAAAAAAAATGATGACTTTTTCGAAAAAAAAAGTTAGAAAATTTTGAGTTTTTTTTAAATCATCCCCCACACGCCATATAGAGTACAAAGTGGGAGATTGTACTCCTAGTAACATGAAATTATGACGAAAAGCTTGTTTTAACCAATTTGGAACGTTTTCTATGATTAAATCTTCGCTTACGCGTTAATAGCGCGAAATATATCGCGCATTAATTGTCCCAAATTGACCAAATTGGCAATATTGAAACCCCAATAACTTGATAAAAAATTATCACAACTAAAATATTTTTTCAAGTATGAGCTCAGGACAACAATAATTTTCGACTCATATAAAACAATCCGGTAAAAATTCTGAGTTAAAAAGTCGAAATTTATCTAAAGAAAAAAACTCACCCTGAGCACAAATATTCCTTCACTTTCGTTATGAAAGTTGGAACAACAAGACTGCCCGTATTAAGGCGAAGCCCTGAATGTTCTAACGTTCTGACTGCTTTTCAAGGTTAATGGAGCAGTCAAAACATGAAAAAATAACAGTTAAAAAATATTTAAAATTTTTTTTTCATTTGAGATTTTTGCAAAAATTATCCTCGCACAGACCATATAAATTACAAAGTGATAGATTTTGCTCCTAGTAGCAAATCACAAACGACAAATAGCCTAACCTATTTGGAACGATTTCTAAGACAGATTAAATCTCCGCCTACGCGATAAAAGCGCGAAATAGATCGCGCGTTAATTGTTCCAAATTGGACAAAATGGCAATCTTTAAACCCCCATAACTTTACAAAAAAATATCACAGGTAAAATATCTTTTCAAGTTTAAGCCCAGGACACCAATACCTTTTGAATGATTTGAAAATGGCTAACTCTAAAGTCGATGTTTATCGGAAGAAAAATAAACCCACCCCGAGCACAAATTTTCCGTTATTTTAGGTTACGAAATTTGGAACAATAATCTCAAAAAAATAAAAATTTCTTTATACATTAAGCAAAAAAAAGGGCTCAACTCCCAAAGTATTGGCGCAAAATACGTTCTTTGGTGGATCATAAGATACAATTTGATCCAACCAAAAATCTTGGTTAACATCCTCCACCCTTATAGACCAAGTTAAGATATTACTTCCCAGCATTTAATTCGGGTTGAATTTGCTACGTGCTGAATGTAAAATGCTCGGGTCTGATTGGCTGAAAACTACAACTTAGAACCAAATAAACATCCCCCAACTTCTTTGGGGGGATGTTAACTTGGTCTAAATTTAATAACGTAAAATGAACGTCTCTTTTTAAATGTCCCTGTTTACTTTTAACAACCCATGCCTATTGCTCAAAACAACTTTGTCTCCCTTCAACACCGGCTGAAGATCTTGGACTGCGGTGGTGAAGATGGCAATAGGGGTCGAGATGATACACCCCGAAGCCCAGATAGCCCCGAGGAGCAGTCGTGTCTGGGGTTTGAACGCCGAGTCATAGATGAAGGGGCGACTCATGGCCTGATATCTCTCGTGACTCATCATAACTGTGGTCCACGCACTTACATGTTGTGCCAGAATGTCCAGAAAGAATTTGGGTCTAAACAGGAAAAAACAACAATTATGTTCAGGAGTATGTTAACTACTCATGTGCCAAAAAAATAACCCAATCAATTATCGCTTTCCCATTGTCAAAGAGGGGATTCGTTTTAGGTGCCAAAACTCGTACAAATCAATTAAAATTTAAAGTCTAATTAGAGAAAAATGAGTCTGTATTAATACTTTTTGTACCCACGGCTGATTTGCGCCTACAAAACATGACAGATTTGCTTCTATTTTGATACATACACCAGCAATATTCATCCCATTTATAAAAGAATTGTCGATTTTTTATTGAATAAATTTAGACGGTTTTAAGCTTACAAACATGATCCGTGTTCAAGCTTAGAAGTTTCAAGGCACAAACTGGGTATGAAAACACATGGCGGTTCATCGCTAAGCTAGCGCCGACCTGCGCAAAGCGCGCTCATATTCACTGGGAGAGGTTTTCAAAATATGACAAAATATGTCAATAAAAGCTTTGGAACGAAATATATCGTGGGTCGAAATCTATGTCAACCATTAGCTAAAAGGGTGAATTCAAAAACCAGTTTCGGTAAGGCCTTCACATATCTTTTATGGTTAAAATCAGCACCTCGGTAACTCTGGTAATGGTTTGGATTCCACTGATATTGTCGCTGGACTCCTTGAAAAATGAACCGGAATTGAGTGACCCGTAATTAAAAACAACCAAAGTTTGTTCACGCTCGCCTAACCTTTTTTTGCGACAAAAACATCTAATGTATATTAAAGATGTGTCTGTATTAAACCGAGCTTTGCATCGTAATGAAGTAAATTACATATCAGGTTCAAGATAGGAAATTAAAAGTTCTGAATGAAAAACAAAAAAATGCTCTCAATAAAAAACTTAAACTAGAACATTTTCAGTCTTCATTAAAAGGCCATACTGTGCCCTGGATAGGTGCACAATTTGATGTGCGTAGGTCAGTGGAATCCAGAGACTATTCCGTAAACGTTTTCAGCAGACAAGTCTGTAGACAAGTCTGAAAAAAATTTCGGCACGGTCGAATGAAGTACCAGAACAAATAAAAATCAAAAAGAGCGGTTTTATTGTGGAATCCGCTTATATTTCACAAAATACACAGTTTGGCCTCAAAATTCTAAAACAAAAAACTGTTTATTTTTTTTATTGCATTTTTTTCTGCGAACTTAGGGGAACTGAAAATTATTCACAATGCTTTTATAACCAAAGACGCGCTTCAGGGATTCGACGCACTTCAGGGATTTGGCTCGCTTTTTTTAAATAAAAATGTGCATGCAGCCGAGAAAGTTTTGCCAAAATAGGGTCCTTAAATTATTTTGGAAGAGCTCGGAAAAACATTGGTCAACCTAAAATAAAATCCACTCCATTCGAGAAAGCCGCAGATCCGAGCTTACTCAGACAAAAAAATCTCAGGTTGCGAAGAATTGTAAGACTTTTTGAATCAACACCCTTCAAATTAGAGAGAAAAGACCACACGCGGCTCCAGAGTTAGATGGTTTTTAACTGTCTCGCAGATAGCATGCCTAAAAACAACAACTAATGATGGAAATTTTTAGAAAGTTTTCGAAGAAACCCTACAAAAAGAACAAAGTTTGAAGTGAAAAAGTTCAACTAACTTGCAAAGTTCTGGCGCAATGATTCTTCGCATAAACTGTTCCACACAAATGACTCCTGTGCCCAGCAAGTAAATGATGTCAGAACAGGCCAAATTGAGAAGGGCGTGGCTTATGATATGAGGTCTGATGTTTTTCCACTGGCGCCACATCACAAACAAACCCACCATGTTTACAAACAAACCAATAACAACAAGGGGAGGCATCACGTAATTCATGAAAAACATGACTGATTATGGTCGCTACAAATTTGGTTGAGCGTGTAGATTTTTTCCCGTTTTTCAGAAACTTTAGGAGCAAAATTGACCGTAAGTCTAAGAAAAAACGGATCGAATTTGTTGAAAAGAAAAGGGTACAAATCGCTCTTTCCGTCGTTTGTTAAATGAAATTTTAAAATTCGTTTGTTGAAGAAGGAAAATTTTTCAATTATATTGGCTGGTGGCTTAAATATATAACGGTATTGAATTTCTCAGCGAATGAGAAAATGGAAGCTTTTCTAAATTCACTTTTTTATATAATAGTAGGACGTTATCAATGCTGACAAAAAAAACTCTATTTTCTCTCTTAAATTTTTTCTGTTTTAGTTTCATGGATGCTGTCAATAAATTACAAAAAATATGCTATGACTTTTTCGGAATTTTTCAAACAAGCAGTAAGAATCCTTCTTTGTTGCTCTTCGTTGTTAGATAAGCATGATTGAAAGAATTGAAATTGCCAATCTCTGTTTGCAAACTTTATTCAGTTTTCATTAAAAAATAGCTGAACAGATTAGTGCTGTTTTGAATGATAAAGTGCTGTTTTATACCTTCCGATTTCAAGGCTGCTTAGAATAGATATTAAAAACAACAAACGAATTCAAATATGCTTTAGTCTCCAAAATTATTCGATATTATAAACTATGAGATTATAGAAATTCTCATGAGCGCAAATACGCACTAAACTTCTCTGCCGAATCGTATTGAAAAAAAAGTTTCAATGATTGAAATTGAAAAAACCGAATGAATGTTAAATTATGCAAGCTTGCAAAAGAAAAATTAAAATCTCCATCATAATAAAAATCATAATAAATTGTTTTACTTGTTCCAATTACTGTAAAAATGAGAACATTCATTAGCGGATATAGGAAGAGATTCGACCCCTGCCGACCCCAAGGGTCTCTCTTTTGTACTTTTTTTTGTAAAATTAGTTTTCGGCTAACTGACCCTAAATTTTTTTAATAATATACAAGTTTGAGGGGGAGCGCGCGCCGAAAAATAGCAGTTTTTTTGGCACAAACAGTTTGTTTACTTAAAACTGAAAAAGTATCGTCTCGCTCTGTCCATTCTCGATCACTCCAAGCAATTCTTGATTTTCCTTATGGGGTTATCCGACACGGGACGTACGCACAGTTTTTGTTATTTACAGTGTCGCTTACAATATTTACAGCGGGTCGCTCGTTTCTTCATTTACATGATTTTTCAGTGTCCTTTTTAATTACAGTTTTTACCAATGATTTCCTTCGCTGGACAATCGCTCATGTGTCCTTTTATAAATGCGTTCCTACACTTTGTGCACTAGTTTTCTTTTCTATAAAGAGACTGGTTTCTTTTGTTTTATGCGGCCCTTAACGTTAAAAGGTTTAAAATTTGTACCGCTGGTCGTTGCTCTGGACTTGTGCGCCAATTTTTAGTGATATAGCCTTTTTCATCAAATAGCGCTTGACTTAGAGCTTCCAACGGGCCGATGGTTGCCGAAAGTAGTTTCTGTGGGTCTCACTGTTCTTCATATTGCAGATGAAGATGTCTCTGATCCAATCTGCTTAGTCAGTTTTTCTGACGTTGCATGTGCTGGCTAAGTCTGTCTGCGCTCAATTGTTCAAAAGATTCTCGTTCTCGCTGTTTGCGATTTAAAAACTTGCACCTGTTGAACGTTTTATCTGGAGGTTTTTCTGATATCTAAGTCTGAAAGCTCCCAGAAACCTAAAAAAAAATGATAAAATGTTTACTCTGGGAATTTTCTGCGCAAACACTCTTTTTTGTTTCCTAGTGTTGAAGATTAAGACTGTGCAGAGCTTTTTGTCGGCGCTTGTCCGTCTCAATCCTTTGAATATCTTCTTTTCTCTATAGGAAAGCCCTGAAAATTGGGAACAGCTTGGCTTGAAAAATGGTTTCGGCACTGATGTTTTAATGGGAAAGAACATTTTATAATTGATGTTTAGCGACAATTCTGGAAAGTATAATCCATATAGATGCAAGCAAGGACCAGTTCGATCCGTTCAGTATTCAGAGGGTTCGAAGAGATTTGACCCATTGGTTGAGGAGACAAAATGTTTCAGTTTTGAGCTCTGTGCGCGCCGAAAAAGTTCAAGTCAAAACCTTACAAAAGGTGCCTTAAAATTTTTTTGGCCCCTTTTTTCAAATATTTACCAGTGGAGCGGAAAATTGTTTTAATATAAAGTGTTAGAAGGGATTTCGGAGACCATCCTAGATCCGCCGCTGTATACTTATTTTAAATAAAAAATCCGTCTTTAATGGATTTTAATTCAATGTTTTTTTTCTCAAGAATTTCATTAAGATTCTTTTTTCTGCTGGACAGTTTGTTAAGCCATACTCAGTTTTTGCGAAACGATGCGTCAGAACTTCGCAGAAATGGAGCTTGAGTAGTCGAATTGTTCAGCGGAATAGAAATTTGATTACAATAAAATTTTGTGGAAATATTCTCAGTTTGGTAGAAAGGAAATAAAACAAAATATTTAAAATTTTCCCGTTAATATATCATCAATATTGCTAAACATTCAGCAAAATCTGCCCCCCAGGCTTAACAACCCCCCAAATTTTAGATCTTTCTCAACCTAGAGATTTTGAAAGTTTTTAAAAGTTGGGAGATGGTAAACCTAAAAGTAACTCCACGTAAATGGGACAGACTTGTGACACTGGTGATCATTAAAAAAAGTAATGACCGAAATTTGCAAATGAGATAAAAATTAGTTTAAGAACACAATAGCGCCGCTGAACTGGATTACTTTTCCCAAAAGTTTTGAAATGTTAAGTTTGTTTTTAAAGGAAAGAGGAAAATGTTGGGGAGAGTGTAAACGGAGAAAAAATGCTTAAAAACAATCACGTGCAACTGAAATTGCAGAGCCAAAATAATGAAAAAAATATATTAAAAAATTGATTCACTCTTTTATTGTAACTAAATAAAAATGGAATATAACCTGCCAGATGATTGATTTTCATTGTTCATTTCTAATGGATTATAATCATTTTTTCGATTTGTTTGACCCAAAAAAAACTTTATAATTGCTTAAGTTTGAAACCGTTTTGTGTTTCAGTCATAACAGCCAAAACAAAAAATTTAGTGCTTTTTTTAAGTCTGTATTAGGATCAGTTATTGATCTTTAAGAACACATTATCTTTCAGACGAATAAAATTGTCCGATAAAAATTGTTTTTTGTTAATTCAAACTTTTAATTGGGTCAATTATTTTACTTTTTGAAAAAATCAAGAGCGGTTTTTTATACACGGGCATAAGAAATATATATATATATATATATGTTTTTTTTTCCAAATTGTTTTTTCGTATTCAAGGGCAGTTTGCCCTCGTTTTTGAGAAACTGCTACCAACTCATTTGAATTTTCCAACAACCGGTTTTCAAAAAGTTTCGAAAAAAAAGTTATTCCTTATGGCGAAAATGCTTGTCAACAAAAAACGAAAGTCAGTTTTTTCCTTCAGCAGTCTGTTCAATTGTGCCCAAAAAGCCGCAGACCTTTTTTTTTTAAATTTGTCTTCCATTATTATTTGAAAATGCATGAAAATTGTATCATAAACATTTTCTCCATAGACTTGATTTATGGAATTGTATGTTAAGGATTTTGGGTGTATGGAGGTCAACCCGGGATGGTTAATGAAAATAATTGAAAGTATCCAGAAGAAAAACACCACAAGTCTTTTTTTTTAATTTTCTTCATTAGTTGGATCAAGGAGTTTTTCTGAATCAATGATTGACCTTATTTTTACAATATCAGAACAATGAGGAGACACAAAGGCAGGAATTGGTGAAATCGAAACAGTGACTATACGAATTTTGAGAGAAAAGTAAATGAAACTATTTTTAGTAAAAATTCATTTTTAATGAGCAGTTTCACCTTAACTTTAAAGAGTAGAGAAAAAAATGTGCAAAGACAAAAGTGCAAAGAAATCTTTTCTGGTATCATCGATTTCCCCATTAAAAAATTGTTCAAAGGAAATGAGATTATCAGAATTAGCTTTATACTTCTCAAGCGCAGGGAAAACTGCAAGGGTGGCTTTGTTAATGCTAATTGCCGTAGAGAAATATGTCATGATCGGCCCAAAATGAAAGTCGTAAATAGTATCAAAAATCTGATCCTCTGACAGGTGAAAAAATCTTATTATGGATAGAGAAGGGAGTATGCAAAAAAACTAGTTCTGCTGTCTCATAATTGATCCGACAATCTGACTACTTTAAATGTCTTGTTGCAGTTTTTGAAAAAGCAAATGTTAAAACTTTCAATCAGAAAAATATTTGAAATTTATAAAATACATAAGATTTGAAATCTGCTTTATACGCTAAGTTAACGACAAAAAGATATACATGTTTCCTGGTAATATTTCCACTAAACGAAATGACTCGCTTCAAATCAATTGCTGAAGATTGTTGTGCCGTTTTGTTCTTAGTTAGGACCAAAATGTATTCCTTGCTCATTAGTAAACCCCAAATCACCAAATTGGCGTTTTGCAAACCCAAATAACCCTTTGAAAATGTTCACAATTAGCCCAAGGCATCAGCATCATTCAGACTGAAGTAAAAAAAAATCCTTTAAAATTGCCTAAATTAAAATACCTTAAATTTCAAAAAAACTGGAGAAAAAAACACCCCGAGGGCAATCATTTTGTTTATTGAAGCAAATTGGTTGCTTCATTTCAAATTGGAATGATTGATCCGCCGCTGTCGCTTTAATTGCACGAAATATATCTAACTTTTTTCATCCCAAATTGGCCAAACTGGCAGTTAAACTATAAACTATAACAAGACTGCTCGTATCAGGGCGAAGTCCTGAATGTTCCGACTGCCTTTTAAGATTTATGAAGCTGTAATAACATTAATATCATTAACAAACTAAATGTAATAAGAAAGTGAAAAAATTTTTTCTTAAAATTTGAAACTTTTTCTATGAAAATCATCACCCCACACGCCATATAAACTACAAAAGAATAGATTTTGCTCCTTGTAACAAATCAATAATGGAAAATAAGCTTCTTTCAACCAATTTGGAACGATTTCTATGACGAATTAACTCTCCGCTTACGCGTTAATAGTGCGAAATATATCGCGCGTTTATTTGTCCCCAAATGGCCAAAATGGCAATATTTAAACCCCCATAACTTTACGAAAAATG